GGGAGGCGGCACCCGCAGCCCTCGACGTCTGGGGCATCCCCAAAGGCCACAGGAGCTTGGCATGTCCATCTGTCTGTCCATCCGTCGGTGGCATGGGGCTGTTTCACCTGCGTCTGCTCGTGCTCCTCACCGGGACCAAAATCCTTGCTCAGCCTCGAGGTCAGGAGATGCTCAAGGCTGSTCGTGAAATCCCATCTTTCACACTGCTGCTATGCAGCCAGGATGAAAAAGTACCATTTCTCAAACTATTTCATAATCCTCCCTTTTAATTATTATTATTATTATTATTTATTTTCTTCTCTCTGGAGTTTGGGGCAATGAGTTTTGAAAAGTCACAGTATTAAACTAGGGGCAAATTAAACTAGGGGCAACCTACCTGCTCCTGTGCAGGGTTCACATTGTGGGCCTGTGTTTTAGGTGCAATTTGGGGATGTATTTGCTACTGGTCTAACCCAGGACCTGGCTCTGCTGGTCCTTCATGCCACGAGTTTTTCTCCTAAGTTTGAATTTTAGGACTACAGAAAAACCACCGTCTCCTCTGTGTAAGAAAATGGACTTTACTTCAGAATATCTGCAGCCAAAATAAATAACGTGCTGGTCATTGCCAGGAATAAAGTGCTAGATGTGTCCCTTGCATCCTTGTTTAACTGCAAGGGGATGTTCCCTGAAATCCTGGGCCATCCGGCCTCACTTTTGCTGTGTTGTTCCCAAAAGTGATGCTCCTCCGTAGGAGGGAGACACTTCCACAGCTCAGCGCGGGCCACGGTCGCGTCCTGCGGCTCGAGCCCGCGCCAGCCCGTGCCACTCGCTTTCAAGAGACGCTTCATGTCTCGCTCCAAGATTAGATTTCAATCTGACAACCTTTTAACGTTGTATTAAATTAGAAATTAACTCCACCCGACTGCTTGCTGGATAATTGCCCTCCAGATAGGCTGTGAGAATATTTAAGATACCTCTGAGGCGATGAAGCTCCYGAGGAAACGTGAGGTCTCCTCCTTGATGCAGCCCAGGGCCAGGTCATTAATCACTCCTGTTGGCCCGGGGGCAGCTGCAGCTCCGGCGCGTGTGGGTGCTGCAGGAGGGGCCCCCATCCCCTCCATGGCCCCGCTCTCCATCACGGGCTCCGTCATGCGCTCCATCACGGGCTCCCGGGTTGCTCTTTTAGGGAGTACGCACTTGTTCCTGCAGCACAAGGCCAGGTTGGGAAGCCTCTGGTGCAAATCCGTGCAGTGCTCAGGCGGYGGCAAATGTCATTCCTGGTTAAACCTGATGCTTGGAGACCCACTGCTGGCAGCAGCCTGGGCTCYGTGGCCGTGGGCTGCAGCTGCTGTGGCCTTGAGCCCCAACCTGGGTTGGTGACGTGGTCCTCGTGGTCGGGACGTCCCCAGAGCCCTGCTGGGCATCCGCTGGCCACCACGTCCCTGCGGCGACGGATGGTGAGGAGGGGACAACAGCAGCCAAGGAGACCTGGATCCTCGTGGGCTATGGGAGCAGCCGCCAGCGCGAGCCTCAGTTTACACCAGTTTATACTTTTTTGTGCTCAACCGAAGTTACAGAGCAGCAGGAGATGAACTGGCCCCACGCTGCTTTATAAAAGGCTCAGAACCCCTTTGCAAACAGCTTTGCATGAAGCCAGGCCAGCAGCAACGGCCCAACAATGCACGCATGTACGTACCCATGTGCACACGTACACACCCCTATGCACCCACATGCACCCGTACATACCATACGTACCCATATGCAAGAGCTTTTGGCTGCCTGTTGATGGCGAGGCTGTAGATGGGGCTGTGCAGCCCATCCTACAACTTCATTCCTATTTTATCCAAGCTAAACTTAAGAGGGAAAAAAAAAGTTGTTCCTTTTCTTCCTTTGCAATTACAGAGCCGCGATCTCAGCCCCGGTGCCTCGCTAATTGTAAGCCCTCCGACGCCGGGGTCTAAAGTTACACTTAGCAGCTGCGAAGCATTAGGGCGAAGTGATTACAACCTACTGGAGGATACCGAACATTTTTACAGTATCTCAGGAGCACAAGGGAAAGACAACAGGAAATGGCGCAAACTTCCSTACCCCGCGCGGCCGCCGGCTGGAGCGAGGGACGGAGCGCGGGGAAGCGGCACCCATGCGCCGGACTCCGCATTCGCTCCCGGATTTGATTCCATTTGAGTTTCCAACTGTCACATTTGGAGAACCTTTGGCTTTGCAAGCAGTGGYGTGTCCCCCCCGCCGGTGATTTAAGCGCACGACACGCACGCGTTCATCACGGCACCCGGCGCAGCGACGCAGTGTTTCATGTTAATTTATGAAATGTGAACTCGGCTTTTGCTAGCGCAGCTCYGCTTTGTGCCCACAGTGATATACAGTCCGCCTGGCTTTAAATGAGACGTTTTGCCTTTTGAACTCAGCAGGAGGCCACTGCTTCCACTACTGGAAGCAGTTTAAAGCCCTGCGAGTGCGACGTGTCTTTCGGGCTCCTCCGGCGCCGGTGTTTCCGATGAGGACGCAGCGCTCGCTGCTGGTCCCACTGTGTCCTGGACAGGTCGGCCCTGCAGCAGCTCCCTGAGCGTCGTGGGGGACTCGGTTGTACCCGGGGGGACACGACGACTCTCTCTGATTCAACCTGAAGTTGGGTTTAGGATGGGTCCAAAAATCGCGATCCTGCTGCAGTTAAATCAGAGGCAAAGCTCCCTTGGGCACAGCTTGAGCGTGCAAACATGCGGGTCCCTGCAGGGACACGGGCACAGYCAGGCACATGTGCTCAAGAGGGTCTGCGTGGGACAGCAAAGACCCCCGGCCCACGTTGCAGGCGCTCCCCTCCTTTAAACAGAACATCCTGATTCAAAGGAGCTTCTTGCAGAGCAGGAATTTCCACACAGCCGTATTGCGGCGCTGATACAACGGTGATTTAGAGCCTGCCAACAAGCAGCCCATTTGCAGCGGCAGCGCTGGGCATCACGCGCGCTCCCGCCGCGGGTGCTGGCGGAAGCAGCAGCCCATCGGAGACCGCAGCAACGTGGAGAGCGGCCACCGCTTCCCATCGGCGGAACTTTGGCCCTGCAAGGAACCGCGGAGCTCGGTGACAACACAACCCCTTCTGTATGTGCTAATCTGGATTTTGTTTGAACTTTTGGAGCTGACCTTGGCTTGAACCGTGCTCGAAATCCTGGCGTGGACTGACTTGACCCGCTGGCTGCATTTGCTCGGGATGCCAAGTCCTACCCCGACTCGCCGAGCTCAGGCCTTTATTTTGCAGACATAAAAGAAAAGCAGCGTTACCGCAGAGTATGTTAGTACRGATATAGCCGGTGGGCCCGAGCTGCACGCGCTTCCTTACGGACAAACTCTACTCTGATTTCAGACCTTTTTCTGTTTTTTTTTTCTGCTTGAGAACGGACTGACTGAAAATCAAGCACGAAACTGAAATTATTGCTGCACACTTGCAGATTTTAGTATTGGTTTCCAACCCTGCAGAGAACAGCAACAAAAAAGAGCTTCTGAGGTCTAAGCAGAACATTGCAATTAAGGGAAATCAAGTCCGAGACTGAACTCGGTATCTGGTGCTTGGGGCTGGCGCAGGAAGAGGGTGGTCACCTCTGCACCAGGCAGTGTGGCTGGCTGGAAGCTGCAAGAGAGCAAAAAWATTAGTGAGTTTAGACAATTTCCTCTCATTTCCATGGCTCCAATGGCTTCTATTAAACAGAACTGGTGGGAAGGAAACGCTGCACGTTGATAGYCTCATCCCAGCCTTGGCTGCTCAACACTAGCTGGCCAAGATAGAGAAATGTTAACAGGTTGCTCTGGGTGAGCCCATTGGTATTTTAGTGAGTGAGYCGTGCAGGGCTTGTACAAGGCTCTTATGGGTGACCTTGCAATGTGATGGGTATTTATATATGTGTGTGTATAGATATATATATACAGCCATGATCCTCTTTGCCAGGAGGTGAACCAAAAACCCAAGCAAGATTCTTTTCTCTCAGATTTATCATCCATCAGATCTACCAGATGTAGATAACGACTTTCACAGGTGCTAAGCTGGGACAAGGAACCTCTTTTAAGTCTTTTTTGTTGTTGTTGTTAAAAAYGTCTTTGTTTGTTTGTTTAAAAATGTTGTCCTTGCACAAGGGTAGGAGAAAACAAAGATGCCAAACCAAGCTGGACTGGTGAATAACACCCACCGATGGCTTTAATTAAAGCCCTCAAGTTAGCAAATACGCACACAGTCTTTGGTACAGGAAGATATATAAAGCACACATCAAGGCTAGCAACACTCCATGAACATTGACATTTAAGCAGTTTCTTGTTTAACTTAGATTTATTCAATGACACATGCATTTCTGGACAGATATCARCGTTCCAGTGAACAACTTTTATAACCAAATATGAGAAACTGGCGACTGCAGTTAGTCAATTAAGTATATTTCTAAAATACATGACTAGAATAAAACTGGAGCAATAGAGATCATTCTTCCGAAGAACAAAAAGAGACATTTCCATTTGTAATACTCCTGGCATTGATGCTTATCAGCGGGGAAGGAGAGCAGCAGGGAGAGGCAACCATGAAGGAATAACCTTATCAGCCCTGTCCACAGAAAGTCCTTGAGTTTCCACTCTCTCCAGTCCATTCCTTAATGCTCGGCACTTATGCAAACGGCTGGAGCTCCTGGCTGGCGCTCGCACCACTACGTTGCAGAGATTCCCTTTATCTTTTAACACAAAAAGCAGATAAYGCCGGTGAAGCCATGTGCGTAACCCAAAACGGCTTCGAAATAGTTCTCCTCTAGCATCTCTTCCCGAACACGGCAAAAAAAAAAAAAAAAGAAAGGAGAAGCCACAGAGCGAGGAGGATTGAAGACAGAGTCTCTTCATATTGCACAGGAAAATAAAGTCAAGGTTTTGCAAGGGCGTTCCAGGAAGGTTCGTGTGGAAGAGATGTCACTTGTCCTTGGGGCAAGAGGAGCAGCGGGCAGGCCCGGCCGCGCAGCGGGGTGGCCGGGGGGCCGGCGCCGTCCCCGCGCTGCCGCCCGGCTCACGGGAAGCCGCTGGGGAAGAGGCTGAGGGGCTGGTTCTCGTTAGTCGGGAGCGGGGAGCGGTACCCGTCGAAGTTGCGGGGGATGCTCCCGCTGGTGGAGCCCGAGCTGTTGCTCAGCGTCTCTATGCTTCCCTCTCGCTGCAGCTCTGGAACGAGACACACAAGAGGTCTGGTTAGCCGGGCAGGGAGCAGAAGCGAGGGCGCCGTTAGAAAGCCGCTTTCTAGACACATGTGCGTTTTGTAGCATTGCTCCAACATTACGCCCGCCTCTCCATGGTCCTTGGTGGCCCGTCCCCGCTCCCATGTCCCCCGTCTGAGCAGCACCGGGGCTCTAAGAGATCCCTGTCCTGGGAGGTGACACCACCGACGTGCCCACCACCAGGATACCACTCCTGGCAACGTCCCGCGGGAAGYGACGTGGCCAGCGCGGCTTTTGGGGACGCAAACATCACCTCTGCTGCCCAGTGCAGACCCAGCGCTGTCCCCGGCCCCCCGGCCACGCTGCCCCGGCCGCCGCCGCTCGCTAATCTCGAGGCTCGAGAGCCGCTCGCGCCGCGGCCCCTCGTCGCCCGCCGCCCACTTGAACCCGGCGGCCGCCTCGGCCGAGATTAGCCCCAAGGGCCACGTCCCCCCTGCTGCATACGGCCCCGTCGCTGCCGTCCCCCTGCTTGCACCGGGGGCTTTGCTCCCCATAGACATCATGATTGTATTGCCCTATACACAAAATATATGGTGAAAGCACAGGAGCAGTTGCCCACTAAAGTAGGAAGCGTTCCGTGCTGGAAAACTGTGATTCCCACCGGCTACTGCGCTTGGAAAAGCTGACTGCTACTGGATTTGCATCCTGGCCCTGGAGGGCMGGGAGAGGCAACGGGATGAGGGCTGGGCCTCACAGCGCAGGTAGAGAGCAAGGGACACACCGGCCTCGGAGCGGGTGCCGCCGACCCGGCCGCAGCTCCTCGGCTAAGGAATGCACACGTATGGAGTGCTCCGCTTCCCTCCGCGCGCTCCCATGAGCTCAGGAAGTAAAAACAGTAATTTAAATCAGAAATGAGTGGCGTATCCCACACTAATACTGCGCTTATCCTGTCTGATTTGGTGCTTTCATCTCGCCGGGGGCGCAGCTGGCTCTGGTTAAGTGTCTCACGTCAGAGCGCTCGCTTGCGGCGCGGCTGCCCGGCCACGCAGGCCGTGCTCCGGCTCCATCAAACATCGTTAGGGCTCCTGAACTCCTGACGAGGTTACGCCTCACTCGCCCGGCCTCTCTCGCTCTCCCTTTTTTAAGCTATAATTGATTTGGGGCAAATACTGTGCTTTCCGTAAGCGCAGCCAAAGGCGAGCGGGCGGCCGAGCGGTGCTCGCTCCGTGCCGGCCCGTTCCCAGCGCCGCTGCCGTCCTCCCGGAGCCTTCCCTGGCTCCTCTGCTTCCTGGGGAATTTCTGTCCCTTTTTGCACCTTGCTGCGGTCACGGGGAGCCGAGTGCGCCCGGCTGCCAGGGGGTGGCACTGCCGACACTGGTGCCAGCGGCGCGGGGGACGCGGCGGGCGCGCGGGGCCRTGCAGCAGCGGGGCCGTGCGTGGGGCCCGTGTCCCCGCGGGTGACACTGCGTGGCTGGGCCCGGCTGCTGCCGCTCGCCGGGGCGGCCTTGCTGCGGCCGCGTGGAGAACCCGCCTGCTCTGGAAGTAATTACGCGGCAGAAGAGCCGGCGAGTCTGATACCTGAGGAAGGGCCGTAAAGCCGCGGCGGCTGCGGGAGAGYGGGGCTGCCGGCAGGAAATGAGGCGCTCGCCCCGCGCAGCCAGGTCGCTCCGCAGCCCACGGGGATCCATTGCCTCCGGACACCCCCTCCTTAGAGCAGCGGAGAGCCACGTTCAGCGCTCCTGGGTTCCCCAGCATGAGCCCGTTTCGTTTGGCTACCTCAGTAATAAWAAAATATACACCGAAAAAAAGTCTTGCGAAGGATTTTTCCCCTTTCCTCCAGACCTACCCTGCAGATCAAGGGCATTCTGGAGACGAGCGCCGCGCAGCATCGCGCTGGAGCCCTGGCAGCCCTGCCACGTGCCCACATGCCACCGCAGCGGCTTTTGGGTAGGAAAGGAGGCCACATCCAAGCAACGGCCGGGGCAACGGCCGCAGGTCCCGTAGGAACAACTGCGCCCCTCACAGCTGCAAGGGGAAGCGGCTCCCAGGGTCACAGAAGCCGTTCTGGCCCTCCCGTGTCCTGCACGGTGGGGACGAGCCTAGGGGTGAAACCCGCAGGCACAAGGCACAAGGCTCGCCGGGAGCCTGGCCGCCTCCGCGCCGCTCAACTAGAGCAGGACAAATCCGTCCTGCGAGCCGTCGCGCTCGCGTGGTGGAGCTGCGCCAGGAACGGGCTTGGCCCCAGCCTGTCTGAGCGTTATTGTATCTGCATTCCCCCATGCATATACTGTCGAGATGTATTAACTTCCTTAAATGTACCAGTAAAACAACCTCTTATGATACACTTTAATGAACTTGTACAGTAGCCAACAAATTGTGCATCATATAAAACCCATTCTGCCTTATAGACTCGCTGGCTATTTTGTAATAACTGCAATTTGCTTCTGCTGAAGCAAGATAACCAGGGTTGAGAAGTCAGGCTTTGCAGAAACCTAAATATTTGATTTTGGGGGGCGGGGAGTGGGTGGGAGAAGGAAGAGAGAGGCCTCTGGGAGCTATTTATGGGGTCAAAATAACATGAGACCTGCTCTTCTTGTAGCATTTCCACCATCAAGGAAATGAAATACTGTGAGAAGACCGGCACTTGCATTATTTTGGCCACGTAAATGGCTCCCCGAGGCATTCAAAAGCCCGTGAAAAACAAACACAAATACAAATAAATGCTAATGCTGGAAACATAAATGCTAAAACCTGCCCCTGTCCCCAGAGGAAGCGGCTCTCAAAGTTCTCGTGGCTCTGAAAAAAAAAAAAAAAGGAAAAAAAGGACATGATGAGCAACGCTGCTGCAGCAGACAGTGCTCCTGCCCAGCACGCCAGGCTGGGAGCAAGCAGGGGACAGCAACACGCAGGACCTCAGCTGCTCCCNTAAATGCTAAAACCTGCCCCTGTCCCCAGAGGAAGCGGCTCTCAAAGTTCTCGTGGCTCTGAAAAAAAAAAAAAAGGAAAAAAAGGACATGGAAGAAGAAGAAAGAGCAGGAACATCTGCAAGGAGGAAGGAGTCATTTGAGGGGAGGAGAGGACTAGCCCTGCCTGCGCTTTTGACGGTAACCGCGACCGGCACCGCTGGCGGAGCCGAGGCTCCRGAGGAGCAGTGATTTCCAGGGCACAGGCGCCTTCTGCCGCGCGGAAAGCGGCAGCAGTAACCGCAGCCCAGCTGTGCACATCTGGCAGCGTGGCCGGCCCGGCAGCCTCCGGGCGGGCAGCGTCCYGGCCACGCACAGCTGGCACAGCTGGGCGAGGGCGCGTGGCCACATGAGGCCCCGTGTGCTGCACGCAGGAGAAGACGGGAAAGCCTCCAGTGCGGAGTCGCTCTCCCTTAAGGCTTCCTGATGCTGTGCTGCAGCCTCGAGGTTGCTCTGTCCCCGAAATCGCGCTTGGTTTTCATGGATTCGGGAGGAGAGAGGGAGGAGCAGAGCATACCCAGGCCCGCGCACCGGCTGCACGCCCCGCTCCAAAGAGCTCCAGGAACTGTCAAAGGACCCCGGCTAACCCAGGAAGGTAYAGAGCCCTGCCAAGCTTAAATGTGAAACCGTTTTATATGGCACATTAATTCAATGCCTGAAGAAAATCCATATAGCCCTCTTTTGCCCGGAACACTCATAAATTATGCTGCCTTTCTTGTTTGTGCTCTCTGTAGTGGTCCACTCGAAGCCATGGTAGCTCCTTTATGTCTACTCCAAAGTCTCATCTCCAGTGCATTATTTCTTCTAATGGTTTTTTCTTTCTCTCTGCTTGCCTTCCCCTGCAGCAGGCTGTTAAGCGCCCTTGCAAAACACCCTCAAAAACCATTTGCTGGAAGCGCTGACCCTTCCCTGGGCGCAGCGAGTGCGCGCGGCGGCTCCCGCGCGGCCCGGCCGAGCCGCGGCCGGCCAGACGCTACAATGACAGCCAGCCTGATGTGTCGGGCTAGTGGGGAAGCAGCAGCAACTCTGAATACAAGAATTATTCTTCATCATCTCAAACTGTCACAACGCATTACGCTCAAAGCCGCGGCTCGCTGGAGGAGTGACCCTGCGCTGAATGGGAGAGTGCTCGGGGAAAGAACTAATTGTAGCCTCTTTTCACACGTCAGTCACTTTTCACAGCACCGAGCCTTTCAAGCTCAACTAATGTCAAGTTCCCTTTGCCTTTTTTCTGGGCTGAGCATTTCTGATTTTTTTAAGGACGGCGTTTTTAAAGGAACAAGGTCCCGGAGCCGGGGAGGGGCGGGAAGGACGCGTCAGGAGAGGCGCACATCAGAGAGCCTCCYGGACAGCTGAAGATTCGTTAGGAATTAGACAATTAACAAGGAGGAATGCAGGAAGCAGGGTAATGGCCACGAGGCCGGGGGCCTCCCTGGTTTCCTTTCGCCGCTTGCTGCAGGACGAGCCTTGGCGGCGAGGCCGGGACGCGGGGCTGGCGCTGGCTCCGCCGCGGGCTGGGGGGCACGAGATGCTGCCTATTCAGAGCACCGAGCGCGYAGGCACTTCCCCACGAGCAGCTACGGGATGAACACTGCAAGGCCCAAATTAGGGCCTTCTCTGAAARCACATGGAAATTCCTTTTATTTTGAGGAGTGAGCGGGAGGCTCCCTGCGGACGCGCTCTGCGGAGCGGCTCCTGGACCGGCCTCCTGCACGGACACACGTACGGGTGCTTCACCCTCCCCTCCAACCCAAACTGCAAAATACGTYGTGGCCAGCATGACTTTTTCGCCCTGGTTGCGCAGTGCCGATCACTGGGGACTCGTGGAGCTCACGGGGGCTTCCGAGTGTTACTTATTAACYGTAATGAATAATAATTACGTCGCTCCTGCCACCTGGATTCTCAGTCAAGGGGATCCTATGCAAAGCGCGCACTAAAGGGCCATTTCTATTAGCACAATGCAAGGCTCGAGGATCTCTTAAACTGTTTGTAATTTACACACCGCTCCCTGGTGAATGGCTTAGTTAAACATTTGTGTTTGGAG